GAGAGAAATAGAAGAAGATCTTAGAAGATGGAAAAATATACCCTGTTCATGGATAGGCAGAACTAACATCATCAAAATGGCGATATTACCAAAAGTTCTCTATAGGTTCAATGCAATGCCAATCAAAATCCCAATGGCATTTCTTGTAGAAATAGATAAAGCAATCATGAAATTCATATGGAAAAATAAAAGACCCAGAATAGCAAAAGCAATTCTAAGCAGGAAGTGTGAATCAGGAGGTATAGCGATACCAGATATCAAACTGTACTACAGAGCAACAGTAACAAAAACAGCATGGTACTGGTACCAAAACAGGCAGGTGGACCAATGGTACAGAATAGAGGACACAGAAACCAATCCACAAAATTACAACTATCTTATATTCAATAAAGGGGCTAAAAGCATGCAATGGAGGAAGGATAGCATCTTCAACAAATGGTGCTGGGAAAACTGGAAATCCATATGCAACAAAATGAAACTGAATCCCTTTCTCTCACCATGCACAAAAGTTAACTCAAAATGGATCAAGGAGCTTGATATCAAATCAGAGACTCTGCATCTGATAGAAGAAAAAGTTGGCTCCGATCTATATATTGTGGGGTCGGGCTCCAAATTCCTTAATAGGACACCCATAGCACAAGAGTTAAAAACAAGAATCAACAAATGGGACTTACTCAAACTAAAAAGTTTTTTCTCAGCAAAAGAAACAATAAGAGAGGTAAATAGGGAGCCTACATCCTGGGAACAAATCTTTACTCCTCACACTTCAGATAGAGCCCTAATATCCAGAGTATACAAAGAACTCAAAAAATTAAGCAATAAGAAAACAAATAACCCAATCAACAAATGGGCCAAGGACCTGAACAGACACTTCTCAGAGGAGGATATACAGTCAATCAACAAGTACATGAAAAAATGCTCACCATCTCTAGCAGTCAGAGAAATGCAAATCAAAACCACCCTAAGATACCATCTCACTCCAGTAAGATTAGCAGCCATTATGAAGTCAAACAACAACAAGTGCTGGCGAGGATGTGGGGAAAAGGGTACACTTGTACATTGCTGGTGGGACTGCAAATTGGTGCGGCCAATTTGGAAAGCAGTATGGAGATTCCTGGGAAAGCTGGGAATGGAACCACCATTTGACCCAGCTATTGCCCTTCTTGGACTATTCCCTGAATACCTTAAAGGAGCGTACTATAGGGATACTGCTACGTCGATGTTCATAGCAGCACAATTCACAATAGCTAGACTGTGGAACCAACTTAGATGCCCTTCAATAGATGAATGGATTAAAAAAATGTGGCATCTATACACAATGGAATATTATTCAGCACTAAAAAATGACAAAATCATGGAATTTGCAGGGAAATGGATGGCATTAGAGCAGATTATGCTAAGTGAAGCTAGCCAATCCCTAAAAAACAAATGCCAAATGTCTTCTTTGATATAAGGAGAGCAACTAAAAACAGAGCAGGGAGGAAGAGCATGAGAAAAAGATTAACATTAAACAGGGACTAGAGGTGGGAGGGAAAGGGAGAGAGAAGGGAAACTGCCTGGAAATGGAAGGAGACCCTCATTGTTATACAAAATTACATATAAGAGGATGTGAGGGGAAAGGGAAAAAAAATCAAGGGAGAGAAATGAATTACAGTAGATGGGGTAGAGACAGAAGATGGGAGGGAAGGGGAGGGGGGATAGTAGAGGATAGGAAAGATAGCAGAATACAACAGTCACTAGTATGGCAATATGTAAAAATGTGGATGTGTAACCGATGTGATTCTGCAATCTGTATACGGGGTAAAAATGGGAGTTCATAACCCACTTGAATCAAATGTATGAAATATGATATGTCAAGAGCTTTGTAATGTTTTGAACAACCAATAAAAAAATAAATGTACTGATAATGGTGATAATGGCACAACTGTAAATGTATTAAAAAATCACTGACATGTACAAGAAGGGGAGTTACACAGAAGATGGAAGGAGAACCTCGTTGTTATACAGAATACATATATGATGTTGTAATGAGAAAAAGAAAAAAAAAGTGTGTCACATTAGATTGGATAGAGAGAAAGGATGGGAGAGGAGCGGAGGAGTAGGGAGGATAGGAAGGGCAGCAGAATAGAATAGACAAGATGATTGATGTATGTACATTCCATGTATGTATTATACATCAAAATACATTCTACTGTCATGTATGACTAAAAAAAATAAATAAAAATTTAAAAAAATTGGTGAATTTTGTGTGGCATACAAGGTTATTATTTGATAAAGCTGTTAAAAACAATTAAATGGCTCCACAGACAGCCAAATATCCAGAAAAACAGATCCTCTACCTTCTCATGTTTTAAGTCATTTTTGATACATATGCATTTTTCATGAACAAAGATAAGACAAGGGAAATTTAAAATTGGAAATATAAATTGAACTGTACATTACTGCTGATGAGAAGCTATTAGTGGAACTGACTGTAAACTATAAAGCCTGTCTTTGCCTTTTCATGACCTTTAGCTGATGGGGACTAAGAATTTTAGCAGTCTGAAGAGAAGCCAAATCCTATCAAGAAAGAGCACTCTGCATTTAAACTATAAACTGCAGCACCAAAAAAAAAAAAAAAAAACAAAAAAACATGGTCCAAGATTTTATGCTTCAGCTTGCACTCATGTCATCACTGTGTGCTGCATACAGGAGTTATTTATGGCCTGAATCATACAGGGAGCCAGTCTTATCTCAGGCAACCATGTTGTTTGCATCAACATTAGATAAAACTGTGTTAATGACAGAAGTGTATGTCTTAAATGTAGATCTCCATGTACTGAACAATCACACTTGGTTAAATGAATCTTCATGCTATTTTTCTGTTAATGTAATGTTTATTTGGTGCACAAAGGCAGGTTTCAACTTTATTTTTGCATCTGATCCTATGCAGATGGTGATGTTAAAGATTAGTACTTAAGCCATTCTTCAATCTAACTGAATAAATGTATGATCTTAAGAGTTTATGGGAGTAGAAGACCTTTTACAGTTCACTTAAAACTGGAACGAGATAACCTTATCTGTTATTTTAGCACCACTCTGCTTCCACTAAGTAAGGCCATTTTTGGCACAGTGATTTGTTAGACAATTAGGATTCCAAAAAAGGGCTTGTCACTATAGACTTCATTCCTGTCCATCTGATGAACAATATTCTCTGGGTGTGTGCTTATTACTGGTTAGAATTTGCTAGGCTCTTAGATTTGCCCTTAATGTCATTTTTCTGAAGAGAACTCTTTAATCTTTACAAAAACTCTTGGGGGAAAGTGACCATTTTTTTAATTGGTACATTATAATTATAAATAATAGTGGGAATCACTGTTACATCTTCATACATGCATACAACAGAACAATACAATTTGGTCAGTTTCATTCCCCAGTAGGTAACCTTTTCTTCCCTTTATCCCCTACCCATCCTCGGCCTTTTCCCTCTACTGGCCTCCCTTCTATTTCAATAAGATCCTACACTCTTTTTCTCCTTTTCTCTATATAGAGTCCAACTAATGAGAAAAAACACATGACCTCTGACTTTCTGAGTTTGGCTTGTTTTGCTTAACACAATGCTCTCAAAGTCCAAACATTTTCTTCAAAAGGACATAATTTCATTTTTTTCATGACTGAATAAAACACCACTGTGTGTGTGTGAGACATATTGCATTTTCTTCAATCTAACTGAATAAATGTATGATCTTAAGAGTTTATGGGAGTAGCAGACCTTTCACAGTTCACTTGAAACTGGAACGAGATGACCTTATCTGTTATTTTAGCACCATCTATTCATCCACTGATGGATCCCTAGGCTGATTCTATAATTTGGCTATTGTGAATTAAGCTGCTATATCATGAATATGCATATATCACTATAGTATGTGACTTTAGTTCTTTAGGATAAGTATCAAGGAGTGGTATATAACTGGGTCATGTGCTGTTTCTATTCCTAGTCTTTTCAGGAACCTCCTTTACTGATTTCCATAGTGTTCGTACTAATTTATGGCTCCATGAAGAATGTATAAGTGTTAAGGGGAGATAACTGTTTCAGACATCTGTATTTCTCAATTCCAAGGCAGGAAAAAAGCTCTGAAGAGAGACTGTGGGGATTGGAATAATCAGGTGTAAAAATAGCAAACTGGGGGCTAGAAAAATCAGGACAACAAATTTCCTTCTCTGCTTCTATGTGCTAACTCAAAACTGCTATCTGGACTACAAATTCCTAGAGATTGTATCTTTTTAAGTTTAGTATCCCTAGTCCTAGTACAATGCTTCAGTAAGTGTTGAATAGATGAAAGACAGCATGCATATATGCACAAACAGATTAAATATGGTCCCTCTTCTGGATGCTTCAGTCCCGTCTTATGAAAGTTGAGAGAAGCTGATATTATAGAATTCTTGCAAGTTTTGAAATAGCTGGGGAAAAACTGGAATTACAATTTGAGAGAGACTGAGGAAGTAGTTCTAAGGAAGGTTACTGCTAATTCCAGGCAAGTAGTTTAAAAATCATAGCCTCAGGAATATTAAAATCCCCACTAAAACAATTAAAAGAAAATTAAAATATTAGCTGCTCTCTGTAATTTTTAAAAAGACATTGTGAAAACTGTGCTAATGACAGTTGTTACAATATAACTATCCTTAGGAGATGGTAGGTGATATATGGAGCACACGTGTATGTGCATATATGCTCCATGCCTAGGTGATCACGCATAAGATATTTCTTGGAAAGCCTAGAAACCCACTAAATTGAAAGATGGCCAATGTAAATGTTACTGTTAACCTATTAACTGCACTGTAAGACAGGGATAGTTCTCTTTTTAAAGACTGAGGGAGGAACAGGCCATGTGCTTTTGCAGCAAAATAATTTCAGAAAGCAAGGACTACACTGAAATAACAGCAATTTCTTTTCATACACATAATGTTAAGGTAAGTCTGCTAGAAATGGAAAGAAAGAGGGCTTCCATTTCTCTAATTACCTTAAAGATGTGTGCTTTGAGGATGTGATGTCCCAATTCAATAGTCTGCTGTCGGTTTAGTTTTCCCTCTTGGCGAGAAAACCAGAAGGCAAGTAATGTGTGACCACTCCTGCAAAGAAAAAGAAACTCATTTTAGAAAGTTTAATGACTCCATTCTGCTTTTGGTGGGGAAAGCAGGTCCAGTTATACCTCAATGAAACTGTGTCATCAACCAGTTTCTTGTGGAGGAGCACTTTCTACTTGGCAAATAATGAGTATTGGAAGGTTCCTAGCTTTTATTAGTCCTTTACCTAAATCACATGTATGAATAGCATAAAACATCATTTCTAGTTGGCGTATAAGCCATCCCGCACACAGATGGCACTAAAAGATTTTCATTTTTATTTTCTGTCTCTGTCAGCAACTCTCATTTCACCAATGCTTAAATGTCAGTGTTCCTCAGGATCTCTATATTGGTCTTTCCTATTCTGTCCTATGCCTGGATTAGATCATTCATTCTCAGAGCCTGCCTATATATACATCATGGATAGCCTATATACTTTTTCTCTGTCTAGTCTTCTCTTCTCAACCTTAGACCAGTATCCATCTAACTATCTATAGGATTCCTCCATTTGGAGGTCCCAAAATACCTAAACTTGACATGTGTTAAACTGGATTAACAACCTCTTTCCTAAATGAAGTCTACTCTGATCAGTTTCTATACTTTCCCTCAAGCTGAATAAAGTACTTTCTTTTTAGTGCTACTAGTATAGATTGTATATACCTCTAGTACAGTATTTACCACACTGTCACATGCTCTCTCTTCCACTAGACTAAGTTTCCTAATGGCACCCATCTCCCTATATCTTCTTGTTAACAGATTCCCAATTTGATCATGAAAAGGAAAGCTCTTTTTTCTGCCTCTGGATATTGTTTTGTTTGCTCACAATGCCCTGAACTGCTTCCTAAGTCATATGGTTAGCTGGTGAAGAAGACAAAGCTGAAAGGGGTGCTAGGATAAAAGAATGGCAGAAAAATACAGCCCGAGCTCTGACTGTATAGCATCTAAATTGTCCTAATTTTGAACTTTTCATTTAATGAAATAATAAATTTCTCTTTCAATTGGATTTCTTTTCTAGCTTGAAACATTCAAATGATACAGTTATTTAACTGTCAATTTGTCTGTATGCATGTGTATGTATATATACTTGTGTATGTGTGCATGTACACACAAATAAAGCCATGGATGAGTCACTTAAAGTAATAATTCTTACATCATGAAGCCTACAATAATTTCACTATTAATAACAAGATAGAATTTTGATGTGCATCTTTATATTTGACTTGCAGTGCTTGCTATTTCTCTTCAGTGCCTGATCAACAATGAAAGCAAGCACTATCATCTTTCTAGCTAGATGAGATTAATACACAGTATTTGATACATGTACTATGTATGTATATACACACACACACACACACAGTATGTGTATTTCTATGTTTAATTGTGAAAGAAATCTGGATTATTTATATTCTCCATAATGCCTAACACAACTTGTTACATATAAAAATGTTTAATTAAAAAATTTTAATTAATTATTTATTTTAATTAGATATATATGATAGCAGAATGTATTTTGATTCATTGTACACAGAATGCATTTTGATTCATTGCTACTTACAACTGCAGCACAACTTTTCATAATTTGTCATTAAGGAAAGAATACTGGATCACCTTTGGAATGCATCTTCTCAGCACATTTGTTAGCTTTTAGCAATTATGGGTACTAGAACTGTGTCTCTACTATTCACCAGGTTAGTGTCAGCAGACTTCTGTATGCCACTAGTAACTCAACTTTTCCATTCCTTTCACTTGGAGTCACAGAAGAGGGAAATGAAACCATTATCTCAGTTTCAAGTCTAATGGCCAAATTAAACAGACAGAAAAGCAGCAAATAAATTTTTGCTGGTGTTGCTTCCCTGAAAGGAGGCCCAAATGTTTAATGAGCTTTTTTCTTTTATACTAAATTCTGGCTACTTAGCCAGGTTTAGTTTGAAGATATCTCACACTGAATTCTGACAAATAAGCATTCTTTCTTTCTTTTCAAAGCTTCGATAAAGAACCAGAAGAACAGAGGTGGGACAGTGTCCATCTTTCACAGGAATCATCTCAGATTTCATGTCAGTAAGATTTTGAAAGGAAATTCTAATCTTTGGCTTCACAAAATTTCTCAATTATAGTGGATACAATGCCAGCATGTTAAGTGGATAAGATTAAACATAATGGAAAGGAGGTTTTTTGACTGGGAGAATGTCCAGAAAAGTATAGCCTACGTGGAATTATCACCATCAGCTGAGGGTCTTAGACCAGGGTTGTTTTGTACTCACAAAATCTGGAAATTGCCACTGAACTTTTATTTATCTCATCAAAGCTCAATTTATTTGGTAGGCTGTTTTTAAGAGCATAGAGAAGTTAGATTATAATGAAAAGCATTTATAAGATATCTTATTCTTGAGATCTAAAATTTCTATACCAATATTAGCAGTGAAATTATTGTAGCTTTCCTGATATTAAGAATTATTACTTTAAATGACTCATCCACGGCTGTATAATAATGACAAGAATTCCTGAATATAGGCCTCTGATCTACTACCTGTGCTTTAGGCTATGAATCAGAATCCATGCCTATTAGGATTAAGGTTAAAAAAACTTGTGCTTGGCAAAGAAATGAATATTTAGTTAGACATAGAATTGACTCTGCCCTATTTTCATTCTAAGGAATCCTGCTATGATGCTTTCATTTCTCCAGTGTCCATCTCATTTTCCTACAGATGACAGTAGGAAAATGAGATGGACAATGGAGAAATGACACTTTTACTGATGCACTGAGGAGAAACAGCAAGCAATACAGATAAGGGATAAGATAAAAGTGATAATTATAGTTCATTTATTTTTTAATAGAAGTATGCTACTTTAATTCATAAAAATGATTCTGATCAGCTCATTAGACTCAAAACTTGTGGTGGTTAGGACACAAAGGCTAACACCAATTCAAATCATATACTAGCATTTTCATTTGTATCTTATTCTTCTGACAAAAATGGTACCACTAGCTAACCTGCAGTCTGAGTGTGTTTTACTACACTCAGGTATGTTTCTTTTCCCCTTATCATTAGTTATTCATTCCTGAACCTCATTATTCTTTTTGACTCCTAGCCTGACCATGTTCTGAGATTACTGATTGCCTCTTATTTGCCAGATAAAGTGGTTTTTTTTTTAGTTTTTGATTTTTTTCTCCCTCCAGCATTAGGCCTTATTCACTGCCTCCCTTTTTTGAAACCATTTCTTGATATCTATGATACTACCTTGGTATTTTTTAAAAAAATCTTATTCCTTCAGGGATTTAATTTCTTTGCCATATGTCCTATTAATTCTTCTCTAGGTAGCTCTCTTTCACCTCAATGTGAATGACTCCCACAGTGACACCTCAAACTCTTGATATTTAGTTTGGCTTTTCTGACTGCCTGCTGGATCTCTTTACCTCCTGGATCTCTCAACCTCCATGACTGTCAAATGAAAGTCATCTTTTGAAGTTGAAGCTTTCCCTTGAACCCAAATATCCTCAAGTCTTTTGTACTTTTTTTTTTCAAATGTTGTCAGTCAGAGACATCAAACCTAGTAGCTGTTTTTCCTCTTTTCTTTATACTTTCTCACCTGGATAATTAATTGAAGTGTCTCATTCTCTCCATTTTATTCTTCACTGCCCACTCTTTGGCCCATCCCAAGAATATATATTTCAAAATCTTCATCAACATTCTGCTAAAAATTCTTCATTTGCTTTACATTTCCTCTGATATATCAATTAAACCCTTAGAATGGTATTTAAAGGTTTTCCATTATTTGTACTTTGTTTTTTTGTTGAACTTTTCCACTTTATCTTAACTTTGAATATCAGACTCAGAATATTTATATATTATTATATATTTTTATTTGTAGAATTTCAAGCATGCTTTCCCTCTGCCTATATTACCATTCTTCATTTCAGTTCATACCATCTCCTCTGCGAAGCTTTCCCTGGTACCTATGAGAAACTCAGAGGTTCTTTCTTTATGTTCCTATAGTATCTGGTACATAGCATGAAGCACCTAGGCAGGACAATACTGTTCTCATATCAGTCTTTCTGCTAGAATCTACTAAGGATAGAAGTCATGTTTTTTCACATATGTATTCCTAGGTAATAAATATTTGCATAATGAATATGTAACAATAGTTTATTTGTATACCATCTTGTGGTTTTGAAAATACTTTAATAATTTTTAGATTCTCACAAAAACAATACCATAGGCACAGGAATATATATTACTCCTAATATTGGGTGGAATGTGTAAAAGAAATACACTAATGCAAAGAACAATATGTTCACTTGTACAGTACAAGCTCTGGATGTTTAACATAATTAAAATCAGTAACCATTAATTTTGACATTTTTTGATTAGCATTTTGGGAAAGAGTAGTTAATAAGGTAGAGTGAACTCTAATATATGTGATGTGATTGTATTCATGACTGAATACAACTACGTTTTCCCTCTGTAATTAAAGATGATAGTAATCAAAATTGATTTAATTTGAGTTCAAATGTTCATGTGTTATAAAAGCAATGGGTTGGGGGATGGTCCCCATAGTGTTTATAATGAGACTGCCCTTGTGATTCAAAGTTACCCAGCAAATTTCCCTGTCTGCATTCATAAAACTGCCTGTTTGATTCTGAAACAGTCAAACATATCTAGGTAAAAACCTGGTTCTGTACTTAGTAATTTTATAACTAAGGACATGCTTCTTAACCTCTCTATAAAACAGGACTGTGGTGAGAATTAAGAAATATTAAGTGAATTATATTTTGTACTCCTTTTGTATACTCCATAGTAACTAGCACATTGCTACATTAAAGGAATGACTATGTCCTCAAACAGAACTTTCATCTCCATTTTATTCTTCACTGCCCACTCTTTGGCCCATCCCAAGAATATATGGGATGAAATGTAACACTCTATCCTTACCCCTCATTCTTACCCCTTCTGACTCTACCCACTATTTGCAGCCGAAAGAAAAATCCACAGATTAGAGAAAATTAC